GGACTTAAAGTCCTTTAATTGAATTTATTTCCGGCACCTTTGGCGTGCCGGCATTCTTCCAATCACATGACTAATCGCATCTATGCTTTTCGATTAATAAAAATTATTTTATTACAAATAACATAAACACAGTAGGTGATTTAAAATAATATTTAAATGTTAAGTTGCTAAATTTAATATTAAAATTAATTAATGTTCTTTATTTCCTAAATTTAAACATTAATTGATAGAGAAAAACTTGTACACCATACTATATACTCTGGATATAATAACTTTTACAAACTTATTAAAAAATTTCTTATAAGTTTGATATAGTAAATTACTCTATAAGAAACTTTTGTAAATTTTTTATTATAAGAACAGTCTAGTTATCTATAGAGAGTTGACTGCGATTTTTTAATCCGGATCCATCAAGATAAAGTACCAAGTTTACATATATTTTACTTTTGCAGTATTTTTAAAATTTTTGTTAAGGCAATCAATATCTGTGATAATTTATTACTTTGATCTCTAAAGACTTTATACACATAATGCCTTTATCCTATTTCTTTACATTTTGTAAATATTGATTAATGTTTAGTAAGTTATATAATTGTTTTCAAGTTTAATATGCCCTTAATAAAGAGTGAGTGTGAGGGAGGTTCGCTATTTTCAATCATTTTTAATAACTTTCACTTTTTCATCATAATTTCTTTTTGTTTATTCAAGTTCTTCAAGAATTTCATTATTGTAATCTTCAGAAATATTGAATTTCTTTTTTTCAGAATGAATAATATTATTGAGATATTCTGCGTATGAGTTATTAAAAGTGGCTATTGCATTTTGCATTAGAAATTGTGTAAATTGAATTATAACATTGTCAATCATATTTTACTGTGTTTTTAGCTGGTCAATCTTTTCTTGGAGCATTTTTATATAGTTTTCCTTGTCAATTTGATCTAATTTATTTTTAGAGATTTTGTTTATTATATTTTCAAATTTTTTTGAATAGTTGGATTTACACTCGTATAAAATTGCTTTATATTTTTTAGCAGAGCAGCCACAGGATTTATAATTCCAAGCATCATAGTTCCATTATGTGTTTAACCTTTTCCATCTAACATGGCAGTTTTCCACAAGTTTATCAATAACTAAGTTTTTACTTTATTATTAGTACATTCAGTCCAATAGAATAAATTTAAGCTCTATATTTGGATTATATAGCTTGTTTTTAAGCTCCTCTGTAGTACTGTCGGCACTTTGTAATTCTTTTTTTAGCTTTTTAACTTTAGCAATAGTTTCATGAATATTTTGGTTTGCTTTTGCAAGAGCTTTGCAAAGTATTAATACCCTTGTCTGGCATTGTTGAGAAATATGTCATGGTGATGACCAACACTCCCTGTATGTGTGATCATTGATACATTTGTTGCATAATGCGTTAGGGTCAGGGTTGTGAATAGACAATAGACAAGTTAATAGACGCAATAGACAGTCTATTGGTCCAATGGGTGTCTAATTGAATCATTAGACAATAGACAAATTATATAGTAATAATGATTTAATTTTTTTTTAATTGTATCCTGAATAATACTACAATGGTAACACATTCAAAATTAAGATTTTGCTTGAATATATATCCAGTATGTTTGGAGTATTTGGTTTATATGAAAATTTATATAAAATTGTTCTTGGCAACCAATAGATCTTGATAACAAATATAAAAGTTTTAAATATAAGCTATCATAATAAATATATTACATAAACAGGTGTTAATAAAAAGAACAAAAATTTAAAAACTAGACTAAAAAAAATTTAACTCAAGTTATAATTCCAAACAATCAAGCTTTAAATATTTGTTGAAACTGCATTGAAAATTATAATCAAAAATTGGAGTAAAATTTATAAAAGCATTTTTTAATATAAATAAGAATGAATTTTTAAAATATAATCAAAAAAGCAAATCAATATGAATCAGATAAACTTTTAACTTGTTCATTTATAATAACATTTTAAAAATGTCTAGTTTGTCTAAAATAACAATTATTGATTTAAAATATCAATCTATCCAAAGTATAAACTAAAATATGTAATAATATTGATATAGATTATTTTTGGTATAGCAAGAGCAAATTATTATATAATTGTTTATTATTAAAATAAAAACAGCTGATATACCAGGAACGGAGTACAAAGTACGTAGTGTATAGTTTACAAGCGAGTGAAATGATGTGTGCGATTCTCAGCATCTGATTGGATAAAAATCCCTTGTGACTTTTTGTAGCACCCCGAACAGTACTAAAAAGGTTTAATAGAATGAAACAATATAACCTTTGTTAGTATTGTGTATTCGCATTCTAATACAATTCTTGATATCAGTATCTGATCGGCATTCCATATTTGTGCATTGTATGATTAGTCACTGCTATAGCTGATCAAATGACTGGTGTTATGGTTGAGTGGGAGAGCTTTGGTAATTAATCTAGTTTAGCTTCAATCGTGAACAAATAGTGATTAAGATCAAATAGTTTAAATCAATAAACTAATACACATATTTACAAGTTATAGGGTTCTCTTTATTAAAATAAATTAATATATCGAAATACTACAATAATACTAAATATTATAACAATTATTAAGAATCGCTCTCTCCCATTCATAAACTAAAACTACACCTTTATATACTTGTAAATCTAGTTAGGAGTCTTAAACTCTCACAGGAGCTTTTAACTCTCTCCGAGAGCTTTGAATCATCCAGGGTGACCATTAAAAGTGCAGTAACATGACTTGTGGTGCAGTCAAACCAAACTACACACAACTTTATATACTAATGCTAATAAAGCCACAGCTATTCACAGGAAAAAATATTTGCGATCCAACTTTACCACGAACAGGCCTAATTTCTTTTT